AATAATAATAATAATAATAATAATAATAATAATAATAAAAAGCAATCCTCGAATAAGCGCTTAAGGCCGTTCGCGCGAAAATTCTCCATTCGATAGAATTTTTTTAAATTTCTACTCAGTGCGGTCAGATAAGGATAATTAATAATAATAATAATAATAATAATAATAACAATAACAATAATAATGGCCGTTTTCACACTAGAAACGGATAATCCGTCTTAGTGTGAAAACGGAACGGTGTTTAGTTTAGACGGATAAAAATAGACAGATTATCCGTCTAAAATAAACACCGTTCCGTTTTCACACTAAGACGGATTATCCGTGCTGGACGGATAACCCGCCTTAGACGGATTATCCATCTCTAGTGTGAAAACGGCCAATGACAAATAATACTAATAATGAAAATGGTGGTGGTGCTGCTGCTACTGCTGTTGCTGCTGCTGATGATAATAATTTTATGTTAAAGATGAAGTTCGTACTGGTACCTACAGACAGCTCTTTCATCCAGAACAGTTGATAACTGGCAAAGAGGATGCCGCTAACAACTATGCTCGTGGTCACTACACAGTTGGAAAAGAAATGATTGATCAGGTTCTTGACAGAATCAGAAAATTGGTAAGCCATAGAAACCTTACGTACATTTATTATATGGCTAGTGTTTGTAACCGATATAACGCGAGCTCTGATTGGCTAGTTATAGAGCATTATTCTCCCCTAATGCCCACGGACCGATTACGGGCCTGCAAAACCAAAGCAAAAAGACACATAATAAACAACTTATTAACCTCGAATGTTCGGTCTTTTCGGGAAAATCTCAAACCTCCCCCTTGCCGTATTAACATTTCTATCGCTCGTTCAATACGGCAAGGTCTCGGTTGGAGATTTTCCCGTAAAGACCTCACTCTCGGTTAATAAGTAGTTTATATGTAAAGAGTGGCGTTCTCTGGTTCGTTGTAGTCTTTACCCTGGGAAGTCAATGTATGCTCAATGACTGATGTTTTGGTTTGTCTTTCTTGTCAGGCTGACCAATGCACTGGTTTGCAAGGTTTTCTCATCTTCCATTCCTTTGGTGGAGGTACTGGCTCTGGATTCACATCTCTGCTTATGGAGCGTTTATCTGTTGACTATGGAAAGAAATCCAAGCTAGAATTTTCAATCTACCCAGCGCCACAAATTGCGACAGCTGTTGTCGAGCCTTATAACTCTATTCTGACCACTCACACAACTTTGGAACACTCAGATTGTGCCTTCATGGTGGACAATGAGGCCATCTATGACATCTGCCGTCGTAACCTGGACATTGAAAGACCAACATACACCAACCTGAACAGATTGATTGGACAGATTGTATCTTCCATCACAGCTTCACTCCGTTTTGATGGTGCCCTGAATGTTGACTTGACTGAGTTTCAGGTATTTACCAGCTACAGATACTTTTTTGAAACTTAGTTCATTCCTCTAGTTACATAGGAATTTCACTGTAAGATGTTAAAATCCAGGGATAAAATTTCGTTTGATATTTCACTTTTGTAGACCAACTTGGTGCCATACCCGCGTATTCACTTCCCTCTGGCCACCTATGCTCCTGTCATCTCTGCTGAGAAAGCTTACCACGAGCAGTTGAGTGTTGCTGAAATTACTAACGCCTGCTTTGAACCAGCCAATCAGATGGTTAAATGTGACCCACGTCACGGCAAATACATGGCCTGCTGTTTGCTGTTCCGTGGTGACGTGGTACCCAAGGATGTGAATGCAGCTATTGCGACAATCAAAACCAAGAGAACTATTCAGTTTGTGGACTGGTGCCCAACTGGCTTCAAGGTTTGTAATTCGAGATTTAAAATATTTATCAGCTTATTTGTGGCCCTAAAATGTTCCTGGTAATTTAGGCTATGTTGCTATACCTTTCCTTTTCTTCCATTCTATGCTTTTATCGTTCAAATCGAGGAGGGATATGATAATAAATGGAGATTGTTTAATTTAGGTTGGCATCAACTATCAGCCTCCCACAGTTGTTCCTGGCGGTGACTTGGCCAAGGTTCAACGCGCTGTGTGTATGTTAAGCAACACTACAGCTATTGCTGAGGCCTGGGCCCGTCTGGATCACAAGTTTGATCTGATGTATGCCAAGCGTGCTTTTGTCCACTGGTATGTGGGTGAGGGTATGGAAGAAGGAGAGTTCTCTGAGGCTCGTGAAGATCTGGCAGCATTGGAGAAGGATTACGAGGAAGTTGGTGTGGACTCTACTGATGCTGAAGGCGAGGAGGAGGAAGGAGAAGAATACTAGTCACGTGATCATTCACGTCAGCTTGTTGCCAGAACAATTATCGTTGCAATAAAAGATTTTGTTCTGTAATTATCTTTGTTTATTTTTGGTGTTTAAGTCCACTTTAGAGATGATTCAGAGTTATGTGATTGTCAAATTCTCATTTTAACCCACCTCAAGAGTTTGAATAAGTTCCGTTGTTCCAAAATAATTCCGACAGGAAAATTCTTGATAAAGTATGGAAATCTGCGATCTATTTTAAGTGCGAAAAAATATAGATGAGGTCTGGAGTTTTCTAAGCTAAGACAATTGCTCAGAAAAATTCCATTGGACGTTGAAGGGTCCGACAAGCCGGTGGTATCAATAGGCCACATTCGTATTGTCGGTATTCGACTGGAACTAGCTTGCAGTGGAGATTCATGCGAATTAAAAAGAGATTAACGTCCGGGCCCCCCTTATTTTGGCTGAAAAAAAGAAAAAAAATCACAGAGGGAAGAAAAGCCGGCAGGGCAAGCAAAACAAAANCTTAGCTCAAGTTCTGTAACCACCACTGCATTTGACTAAGAATCGCGAACATTTTGTGCTTTGAGAACAATAGAACTGTTTCAATAATCGGACTCGTTTGGTTGTTCACATAATGCAGAAAATTCTTGGAAATATCCAGTTTAAGAGAAAAAGGCCACAGGATCGAGTCTTCTCCTCCTCAATTGTAAGGCTACTGTTGCTGACACCTCTCTACAGTTCTGAGATGTCCTAAAGTGTTATTTTTTTTTTGGTTAAGAACACTAGTCTTCTCCTATGATCGCTCTTTTCAGCACGACAGGAGAGTAATACAACCACTGACGCCACAAGGGTTTTGGCCGCGCCAAGATGACCGCGAATTTTGGGGCCAACTTCGAACGGATAAAAAAGCAGTTTTTGCTTACCTTTCGTCCGAAAAAGTTGACAGTGTTTTTATGTAAGGTTTAAACTTTATGATTAAGCAAAAATCTCAGACACAAAAATGGAGAGGAAGGTTCTTTTACAGTACATCAGTACACACGAAGGCTGGTTTTGAAACATAAGGAGTAGCTTTAATGATATAAGTTATATAATTATGGAAAGTGATGTCCATCCTGTGATTTCCTTTACTGCTTATTTTCCTCATTGAATGGTTTTATATTCTCCGTTTTACCACAGTTCACACAATAACGGAAAAATCGTGCTGTGCTGTAGTTTTAGCCTTGCATTTCATATAGTTTTTAAAATTACCCTAACCTGTAAGACTCGGCAGTCAGATTACTCTACTGAATTAATTATTATCCTCGCTCCGAAGCAGTTTATCTGTTTTGCTAACACATTGTCCACCACGAGTCCGGGAGGCGACTAGGAAAAAACTCATGAACGCGGGACGTTGTCCCGATGTATCACTAAATTATCAAAATTAATATTTAACTGAAGGAATTTTTGAAAAGAAAATGGTAAATTGCTAGGGAAATTAATAAAATTATATAATTACATAATTATACAATTATATGAGAAAATTATATTGTTATATAATTTTAGAAAATAGCCCCCCAAAAGTGTGCGCGCTGATTGGTTAAAAATCGTGTTTCTGTATCTCGATTGAAACAGTGGAAGTTTGGAAGAACTCATTATCCCAAACCTCCACCCATGTTTCTATAACTCGGGACAAGCTTTCCATTTCTTAAATATTAGGAAATTATATGGTTAAAATAGCTGTTGTCGTTACACGGAAATATTGCGTTACACACCACGCCCGATCACCAAATTGTCGTGTATAACGCTGTCCTATGTTGGCCACGCTCGGGTTACATCATCGTCTGGCTGTCACGAAACTCCGTCGATTGAATAATGTGTCTCCGTCGAATGGATGGATTCTCAACGTCCTTCGCCTTCCCGCAGCACTTGCAGTTCTTACACAGGCCGAACCAATCCTTACTAAAGTTGGGTATATAACAGGCAAAAATCATTGGATTAAAGAGCGAGTTCATGAACTTCATCAGCTCTGTGATAATAGCAAGAATCAGGACTATATCAGGAGCTACATCAGCCAGGCCATCATAAGAACGAAGCATGGAAATGAGAGCAGTAGGCCCCCAACAGATGACCACGCCCAGAGAGAGGGCACTTAACATGCGCGTGACTTTTCCCTTGGCATTGGCAGTTTCTCTACTGATGGCACCACTTTTGTAATCTCTCCTGAGATATACGTACGTCAGCAGGAACAAGATCACCATGATAACCAGGGGGACTAGGAAAGCCATCACAAAGTAGAGTGTGGTCGACAGCTGTCCGCTCCAGTTCCTGTAGAAATCACATAGCTTGGGAACGCTGCAGTTCTTGAGCTCGTCTGTCAAATTTCTGGCAACTTCTGGAATCTCCGTGTAGAGGACACTCTGTGCGCTGTACATGAGAGGTCCCGAAAAGACTGCAGCGTAGGACCACACACCAAACACGACAAGAAATGGAGTACGGGGTGACATGACACCTTTTAGCGGCGACGCCGCGTCACGGTACACGTCAACTGAAATAACGACAAGCGAGACAAAAAACGCAGCGCCACAAGCCGAGGAGAAGAAATGAAGGAGTTTGCATGGAATGCCTGACTTATCTGTGTTGTAAACTGTGCTCAGGTATATTACCGGTCCCACGGTCAATAACCGAAATATCAAATCCGCCACGGACAAGTGAAATACGAAGAAGTTCGACAAGTTCTTTAACACGCACTTGTTAAGCAGCATGACTGCGCAGACTGTAGCGTTAATGAAAATTCCAAGGACAATAAGACAGAAGGCTGTTACCTCAGACATTTTGGCAATCTCCTTGGCTGTTTCACAAGTCATCAACAGCATGTCACCTTCTCCAGAGTTCGACATTTTTCACAAGGCTAGAGATCACAGAACTGGAGTGTTTTCTATTTTTGGCTTCTCGCTCTCGTAGAGCTGTTTCAGTTTCTTGAAAAAAAAACAACAAAAAAAGTACATCAGTGCAAATAAAACTAGGTTAATTTTTTGATTTTAAATAGGGATAATCTTTTTGTTTTAGCTCATGGATGAGAAGTTTTCACGTAATGTGAACAGGAAGTTCCCGTCCCCACGTCCTTTCATGTAAACGAATGAGCCAGGCTTGCGTGACAAAAGGCTTGCGTGACAAAAGGCTTTCCAAAGAGATGTTTGTCATGCAACATTTTGTCGTCTGGTTGTCTGCCTACCACGCAACATTTGCTCGTCACGCAGCACATCTATAGCTTTCCATTGACAAACCGAATCAGTAAATACATTAAAATCAAAGGTTTCTTAGTTTTTCATTCTTTACTTAATTAATTGTTGTAATGAGAATTTTCGCAGACAAATTTTACAGAAACGCCTACGGAACAATTGCGCAATTTTGTGGGGTAATTGTACATAACGCAACAAGAGTTAGTCAGAATTGAGCGATATTATTAGCTAGTATTAAAATCTGATCATACTAAAGTTCCTATATATAAACGTTCCTAAGTTATCAATGTTCCAGGTATATGCTACATAAATGCTCAAAGTTCTCACCGAACTGCAGTTGTTTCTGGACCTATTTTTGGTCAAACTATTTCTCGAAAATATCTTTCTGAGCACATGAAACGACGGGGGAAAGATCACCAACAAGCCAAATTTCCCTAGCTGTGCGTACCATTGCGCTTTCTTCATACTGCGTCCGGTCACGAACTGAACAAATCGGATCGAATAACTCGCGAATAACTACACAGACATCATTGTAATACTTAGTATATCTAATTTATCGTACCTTGAGTACATGAGAATACCTTAGCCGCGTTGTGCAGTTTTATTAATTGGTGTGGGAAAATCATATTTTACTTTGTACCGATTGAGTAATTCTACACGTTCACGAAAAAATTTCAAATCTGAACTTGGAATCTACTTCTATTGTAGGTATTAGGTTGTCATCAGCATCCCTCATGGCTGAAACGCTCTCAAAAACAACACATCTTGAAATATACTCACTGTGTTTCTGAAGATAACAATCCTGTGATGTTCAGATTTTTCAACGAGGCGAAAGCGGCCAGCGAAACTCAAGAACACAACAATCCGCTTGAAGACACAAGTTGTAGAAACATGACCTCACGTAGGACAGTCATGTAAACCCGATATGGGTCTGATACTGCCATTTATAGAACGTGACAGGGTCTGACCGTGACTGAAAGAAAATGAAACAAGCTGTAAAGTACTGTGCTCTGTTTAGTCTTCCTACCACCCCTTGAAATACATATCTGGGTTGACAGTAATGTAAAATGCTTGTAGAAATTTCAGATCCACTTATTGTCTATTTCTAAAGCGATGAAATTCGGGAAGTGGATCAGGCAGAGGGGAGCCTAGGATGAGGAGACAAGAAACTCGAGGAATACGTCACAGAAGCGACAGGCGGCAGTGATCAACCTCTGTTGCAAAGAAGTGTAGCAGCCCTCGTAAGCTGGTATTGTTGAATTATTGTAGCAACTGTTATTGTTTTAGCGCTAGGGACATTGTTGCTGTTTTTTGTTTTATTGCTCCCTTAAAGGGTATCGAGCCATTCATGTGAGACCTTACGAGGGCGCTGTCGCTAAGAGCATTTTCTTTTTCTTTTCCTGAAAGAAATTGAAAAAGATCTTTAGAACGGAGACCGAAAGCTTTGACCTTGTTCTTGAAAGCCTTATTTGATTAGAAAAATATTTCACCAATGCATTCAGGAAGCGGGTAGTTTGACCTTTAGTTGCGGTTTTTAACGAGAAAAAGCGTACCTAAAGAAAGTTAATCTAATATAACCCGTCACTTTTCCACAAACAATTACATTTCCTCTCATTTTATCTTACTGACTTTTCGTTAATTTTCCTATTATATATAATATATGTGTAAAAAAGAACGCTTGAAATCAGGTAGATTATGCTTGACTGACCCTCTAGCACTAGGCCAGTCAATATAAGTCACGGCGTTGGTAACGCTACCTGACAAATAGGGGCGTCTGACATATAGGGGCGTCTGACATATAGGGGCGCTATATCAAAATACCAAAAGTTTATCATTACCTCTGCATGGTTAATGTGTCACACTACTAATAAAAGGTTTAAAATGACAGCTTTGGACTTATAAAAGTGTTAAAACGACAGCTTTTGACTTCTGGGGGAAGGAAAAGACTAACAATGAATTG